GAGACGAAAAGAAACGCTCGAGGGCAGCGATGCGTTTCGATTCTCTGGATTTCAAGGGGAAGAGGATACCGCCGAGAGGAGAAAATATAGATCAAAGTTGGGAGAGTTAAGCGCGGCTTCTTATTCGGAACACTCGAAGGTGAGCTTCCCTATTTTCGCCTCCCACGCGAACAGAAGAGCCTCAATGGCGTGGCTGAAAGGTGCCCCGAAGACAAACCGTTGCCGAGGAGACCTCCAAAGGTGTACTGCGCGAATGCTCGGAGGCAAAACGTCGAAGATGGCCCCGATTCTCTTAGAGTTCAACCCCTTTTGCGACAAGTACCTCTGGAAAGGGGGTACTGGTCTATTAGTTACCAGAAATGGGATCTTTTTCGCTGAAAATTGCAGATTCATACTGTTTGAAGGACGTCTGGGTGGATGTTCAGGTTTTTATTATACAATTTCAACCTTTCTAACACTTCATGATTTGAATCAATTTTTTCACACTCATTTTCTACAATAATTATGGACGCTACCTGAAAAGTTAATAATACATCATACAGAACACTTCCTTAAGGGGTTAGGTCTACTCAGAGGCGTGAAAAAATGGGTATTTTAAATCATTTTCTTTACAGTAGTTTAATATATTTTATAAAGCAAATAATACTAAGTTATTATACAATGTTTTAACGTTTGTTGACAAAGTTATTGCCATATTTATTGAACACTGTTCCTCAAGTAGTGTTTTGCGGTGACTATCCTAACTTTTTACTGGCTCATCTAAAATTAATCTAACAAATATAAATCATTAGTTTAATAATTAATCTGGCAATTAATCGAAGTCTTTCAAGGTAAAATGTCCATGTTTGTTGCTTTTAAATATTGAAGTCTTCATCATAACGAAAAATCCGTCGAGAATATCTCGAAAACTATTCATCAGATTGATTTGAAATTTGCAGAGAATATTTTCAAGATATCATATTTCAATAAAATGCAAAAAGTATCGATCTTTTGAGAATTTTGTCTAGACCTAATCCCTTAAGCACATCTGCTAGTTTGTTTAAATATCTGCTGTACTTCAGGCAACCTCTCTCTATGAGTCTTCCCTTAATCCTTTCCTTCGTAATTGAAGGCTACTCAAAACAATCAATATTGTCACATCTAAAGAAAAATCTGCAAAATAGTCCAAACCTACGAACCATCTTCAGGAATAAATGCGAATGTCACACTCTGTACAAAAAATACTACCCTCTACACAAACAGAAATTCTTTCTGAATAAACCGGGGTAAGGTGACCCGGCTCTAAGTCTTCCAACGGAAGCGTGTCATCCGAAAGCTTGAAGGGAATGATGGCCCCGATTTTGACAGGGGTCACCCTCGTTGTTAGGCGAAGAAGATGACCCCTGGCGAGTAAAGGTCCCCCGAGAAATGGGATCTTTTCTCCAGGAAATTGCACACTGGCATCCTTTGAAGGACATCTCCCAAGCTTCTCAGATATTCTCGTTGTCTTTGGTCCAGCCTCGAAATAGAGTGGACTTCCTCGAGGCATTTCGCGAAACGTGAAACAGAATTCTAGCAATGTTTTCGACCTAAAGCCGCCGGGCTGTTTGACCGTTGAGGGCAGTTTGTCCGAAATTAGCACTCGACCAGGGATGAATGAGGGGATGATGGGATACGCGACGAAAGCGACGACATTCCGATTACTGGACGCTCGTTCGTCACTGTCTCAGCCGCAGGGCGACTGGATTTCAGATAGCCACAAAGAAACCCCAGGAAATTGATAACTATCCCGTTACGCTGGACGCTCGGCTATTTTTCAACAACAAAAGAACGATTCTTCACCACGCCTCGGCTTCGCTGCCGATTAATGCTCGCGTCCCTCTTAATTAATTATGCGAACGAACGAAACAAGGGCTGCCCGCCCACGTCGCGTTGGATGCGTGACTTTCATAAACATTTCCCTGGGAGAGGATCGTTTGAAATATTCGTGACTGGTCTGACAATCGTTGTTACAGGGGCAATAAATAATTTACCCGTGAATGGCACTGCTATGGACGTTACGGGTTTGATACTAATTGCGATACCTATAATTTGTGTGCTTTCTCTTTGTTCACTTTTCACGCCGTGAACACATTCTGTTAAGTCATTTAACCCTTTCAGACCTGAATTATTTCTTTTTCCTCGTATTAATGTAATTTAATTTTTAGGGTTAACTTGAACTAAAATTAGTATGAAAAGAATAGAAAAAAAAATCGTAATAGTGTCCACGAATAAGGACATTTGCCCTAAATGATAGTGTCGTTAATTTAAAAATTTTGTGTCCTCAATTGTGGACGCCAGGTCTGAAAGGGTTAACACTAAACCTACCAGCATTCATTTGTAATTATTTCTATCGTGATGGGACACATAACTAGTCTCCAAGATACTCTTTTCAATTAAATGCAAAAATATTTCACGTGGAATTAAATTGAATAACGCATGAAACAATTCATATATGTAATAATTATTTCATGTATAATTCATATATGCTGATATAATAATATTATATATAATAATTAATTCATATACAGGGTGTGACCGGACGGGTGGTACAACCGAGTAGAGGGTGATACTACGTGCATAAATAAGTCGACAAAAAAAGAACATTTTTTCGTTTGACGCTTCGTTCTCGAGAAAATCGAGTTTGAAAATTCTATCCAGTGTAACAATACGCGGGCACTGGACTAATAAGGCAATTAGAACAAATAATATCGTGAAAATGTTAACAAACACCGAATCACAAGTAGAAATAGAGAGCAATGGTCAGACGCATAGTGCTCAATTCCTCGCACACCTCGAGCGTTTTCAATCACGATTTTCTCGAAAACGAAGCGTCAGACGAAAAAATGTTATTTCTTTTTTTTTCGACTTATTTTTACATGTAGTATCTCAGTTCGGTTGTACTACCCGTCCGGCCACAGTCCGTAAAATAATAATTCATATATCGCATACAAGAAATGTATACGTAGGTTTACATATGTGTAGTAGGTTTAGTGTTACTCCACTGAACACTCAGTGAATCTTCTGAAATTTCTCAGAGACCTACTTTCCAGAATTCCTTGACTCAACAATTTTTAGCATCGTGTTTCCAATCGAATCTTTTTTCTCTCCATTGCATTGCTGTACTTCTTTGGAAGACTTTGCCGCGTTAAAGAAGGGAGATTATCGCGGTCTATTCGAGAGATAATACTTGTTAAAGATATTATGCCGCGTCCATTGTGCCCAGTTCTTGAAAGTTCTCGGTCTAATCTCCTTTCCACTTAGTTGCCGCGATACGTAAATATTTCCGACAACGAGGAGACTGAAAATCCCAATTCGTTTATCCGATACTCCCATCCGAAGGACGCTTTAAAACTTATGGCCATTGTCTCCCACCTTCCTTTCTAGAGTCTTCACTCTAAAAGGTGGAATAAAATTTTCTCAACGCGCTCTGTCGTGATTGTACACTGAGGAATCTTGTTTTCATTTTGCGGGGATCCTTCTTTCTAGGGAGTCGCATTTGCTCGACGACTGATTGGATAAGAATCGAGGTTTCCAATGGAGACGAAAATGGTGTACGAGCAAATCTTATAGTAACTTGTAGTTTTGAATGTAATTAGAATGGTTATAAAATAATTCTCTTCTAGAGTTACACAATTACAGCTCCAATTTCTATTTAAAATGACTACAATAATTATTTTTAAGTTTTAGATATCGTGAAAATTATTTATCCTTTGCATTTGTCTAAACAAAATTATTTACTCCGTATAATTTTCCCCTTTGGACCAAATCAAAATTACCATTGCTTGTGATCACAATATCTTTCAGAATTGAAAAATGAACCTCATTAAAGTGAAGTAAAATATTTGTATATAACCATCGACTTACAGATAAAAATTGCTTTAATTTGTGTGTATTAGATTACAGCAAAAGTGTAACAAGAAATGGAAACAGTTCTTCCACCTTGATATTTTTTATTTACTAGTGGAAAACATCAAACGTGGTCCGATTTGAGTAACGGACGTGCTTCAGAACTCGTAAACGAGACTTCCCGGCTACTGGGAACAGTAGATGCATGCATTTGCATACGTACACCGAGTCCTTGGCATGCTCGTAACCAGCGGCCTTGCTCAGTTTGGTAGCATCGATCAGCAATTAGTAAACGAGTTTGCTCTCGCCACTCGAACGGCAAGAGAACTCGAAGAATCTGCCATCGAATGGATGATGGACACTCAGAATGCAAATCCGACGGTGTTGGACCGTTATGAAGTAGCTGCAGCTACGTAACGGTATCGCAGTACGAGAAACAACGGCACGACGTCCCATTTCGTTGTTCGCATAATTGAAAAGAACAGATACAAGGTGGCCATTGTCACCCATGATTGGTAATCGCGTGGATATTAACACGAGAATGTTTGTTGTCGAGCAAAAGGGAGAATTGAATCTTAAAGATTAATAAGAGATTAGTAACCATTATAATGATGATGACTCGTAATGATTTGTAATTATTAATGACGATTAACGATGATACAAGATTATGTGTGATAATGAAACACGATGATCAATGATGATTGAGGATGTTGTATAATGATTTTTAATTTATAAAGATACATGACGATAGATAACGATCCATGATGCTCGATAATGATACTTGATACATAGCGTTCCAACATGACTCATTATGATTTATGATCGATGATGATGAACGACTATATCATGTTTATAACGTTTGCTGTTTGAGCGATAGTTTCGAAACTAGTTTTCCATGATTACAACGAAAGTATCCGCAAAGTAATCTCTGCCCAATTCCGTTTTGCATAATCGATAGAATGCAACGGAGAGCACTTGTCCTTCGTAGAGATAGAACAGCAGGGTCAGCAGTATGCGGGTATATTGGGTCGAAAGAGTGCATTTTGATCGCGAATTTTTGCGACCATCGGGAAACGATATTCGACGAGCCACCCAACCAGCTGATTCTGGCACAATCGTCTGTTTGATTTCAGGTGCTATATTCACTCATGACCAAAAGGATAGCAGTACGGAGCTGGCCTTCAAGTATGCCGTGTACAAGATCAACAAGAACAAGCTCATCCTGCCGAAAACGACGCTGGAGTACGATATACAATATGTGCCGAAAGATGACTCCTTCCACGCGTCGAAGAAGGGTGAGTTGACTGCTAGATTTTATTTTAAATAAAACAAATCTGTAGGCACAATGTTAGGTTTTTTGACGTAACAAACACCCTTTGTATAAAATTACAATGAAAATATTTTTCTTTTAAAGAAAAAGAAAGTCATTTTAAATACTAAATATTTATGTAAATATTTATGTAAATATTTATGTGAATATTTATGTAATGAATTCGTCAATTAATTTCCGTTGCATTGTATTTAATATAGCGTATTTGATAATTTAATCAAATTCATCAAGGGCTGGTGATTAATAATACAGTTTAAATAGAAATTATTTCATACATTTTCTCATATTTTTAAGCAATTATATGTAAAGCTGGTAAGTATTCATATAAATTAACTAGAAATTATTTCATACTTTTTAGTGCAGTTTTAATGTTTTTCCAAGTCGGTTACGTTTTTTTTTTTCCAAAAATTATATCGTGTTGCGTTCAATTGACAGTTTAGCCACGTGAACCCTTGGTGAACCAGTCAGTCTTTTGTTTTCCGTAACACAGATGTTTCAATCGATACTTCTGATTCTTTATTTACAAATGTTGAGATTTCGAACTGAAATCTTATTTTATAGCCTATGTCTTTCCTCAGGGTGCGATCTATCTCCTTGCCTAATTTTATCGAAATCCGTTCAGCGGTTTAGACGTGAAAAGGTATCAGACAGAATTACATTCGCATTTATAATATTAGTATGGATTCGTCTATTAGTTTCTTGTTCTTGAGACAAAATGGTGGCTGTAAACCTTGCTTAGACACCGACGTCACAAAGGTGGCGCTAGTATCTGGTCCCTCATAACTTCCAAGTTTACCCTCAGGGGCTGTAGCTGTGTTTGATTGTATTATAGCTACAGTACGGGTTTAGCAATCCCAAGGTACCCCAACAAACCACTAACATCCCTAATGGGAGAATTATGAAGGAAGACGTCTAAACAAATGCAAATTCATGATAACGTAAAGCAAGAATTAAATGAATGTAAAGGAGGAACAAATGTGAGACTGTACATTAGGTGTTATACTTGTAAAACGACTTCGTACCTGTCTGAATTTGTTTATACATTGAAAACGTGAAATAAAAATTCTCTGCTTGCAGGTTTGTTTTCAGTGATAATCAAATTTAAATTAAATTCAATAACACTCGGATTTCACTGTAAATCAATAACGAACTCTACAATTGGAAATGTTATACCGCAGCCAAATGTATCGTGGAGTGAATTGTATTTCGTTCGTCCAGGTTTTAAGAAAATTCTATTCCCTTCGTCGATTTTTATCCCAGGTATTAAAATCTGCTTTCGTTCGGGAAATGAAGTTTTTGCTGTTGCATCGCGAGATTAAGGCGATACAAATTGAGGAAAGCGGGTTAGTGGGCGAGGCAAGGTATCCGGGTTCGCGTCGAAATTGTTTCAGGACATCGAGCAAGACGTTGCTTTAAGGAGAATTTATCGTGACGACGCAATATAAGCCGCGCGAGGATAAGAGGGTTGCTTGCGGCGTCGTCATTAAGTAGCGCGAACGTTATTATTCGCTTCTGTTGACTGCCAAGTACCTACACGATGTCTACCAGTGTTTAATTTAGTTAGCAACATTGTTTACCGACATTGGTACAACCTGACCGAAAGCGTTCAACCTCGGAATTTTTATTAACCCTTTGCACTCGAGCCCTTTTTTTCTGCTATTTAACAGCAATCAAAATGCTTTCTTAGCATTCAATTGCCACGAATGCTAAGCTTAGATCGACTTTGAAGATGTAGCCTGTTTTGTGATCGCAAACTAATTTGAGACTTGAAAATCAGGCCATCCTTATTATTTTATTTATGAAATTTCGAGTTCTAAAGAAGTTAAACCTAAACAAGCATTATTGCTGATTGATTTACTGCGCCAAACATGATAGTGATCGGAAGTCATCTCTCGAGTTACTGCATTGCGTTAAGATATGTCTGAGAGTCATCTGTCGAGTGCAAAGGATTAACTGGGATTAAGCGTTAGAAAAAAACCGGTAGTAAGTAAATACACATTGCAGGGTACAGAAATATTCTTATTTTTCGCAAGGGTCGATTTCTATTCAAAGTGACGCCTTTATCTGGAGTGTTTTCTCGTACATACTACACACAGGGTGATGGGGTCGATTATATCTGCTCTTCATTGATCTGAATTTTAAATCTGAGAAACGTTTCTCATTCACGAATACATGTGTACATTCTTTACGGCTTGACGCATGTTTTTTCTGAAAGATTGAAAAGTTGTCGAGCCGGTTCGGCTAAATATTGTTCAGTTTTGTGTAGAAGTCAAGCTGTAAACAATGTAAGAGCTCTAAATCTTTTCTACTCGAAGATACGAAGTAATCGAATCCTTCGAGGGGACTATCTTTTAGTAGAATAATTTCTGTTCGGTGTAATATGAATTTGTACTTCTTTTTCAAATACAATCATGCATCGTCCATATACAAATCAAACCTTTTCATTATTCTACATATGAGCCGTTCACTGCACAAATCGATTAACTCTACTTTTTGAAAAATCTTAAATGTAAGTGTTGAAGCACTTGGTATAGTCATAACTATTTATATTTATAACTTTTCTGAATAATAAAAATTAACACCATTCAACAACAAAACTTTTTTGGCCATTGAATAATAAATAATTCATTTCAACTTTTTGTTTTATGGAGTTAATCGATTCGTGCAATGAACAGCTCATATGAATGTACATTAAGAAAAGTGCCTTCAAGAAGCAAGTCTGCCGAATTCACAGATTTAGCATCTCCATCGTTTTAAAAAAAAAAGTGTTTACAATTACCAGTAAAACGCGTTTCGAGTGTCACAAAGTGTATCTACGCTAATTCAGACTTTCAGTTTACATCTCTCGCTTTGTATTACACAAGTATTTTTTCTTTCGCAGAGAAAGGAACACTTTCGATTTTTCGAAAGTGGTGTCAGCTTTTAAATTGCGTGACCCTTAAACGGTGTCCCATAGTGCTCGAAGGGTCACCCCCGAGAGTAAGCCTGGGGACATCGTTGTAGGAAACGATCGTGAAGACTGTCGAGAACAATCGAATACCGCACCCGTTCGTATGCATGCAAATGCGCGCACTCGTGACCGAGATCAACTTCGCCGGACCGTTTGCTTCGCATGAAGCGTTATCTGCTCCCCTGAGCGTAGGGGCTCTTTTTTTCGAGTTTTATACTGTTATATGCATACGTGCCAGTTAAACGGTGGTCGGTTATCGGCGACAGGCTCGATACCGCCGCGCAGGACACGAATTTAACCGCTCGATTCGCCGAAGGTATTAGAAAACCAAGAAGAATGCCGTGCTGCGAATTTTAAGCGTTCTCGCGCCTTCGATTTGTGTACGAGAATTTTTTTGGCGACCATATATGACGTTTCCTACTAAAAATTCCGCACTGGTAAAGAGACTAACGAACGTACAAATTTATATGCAATTTATCCTATCGATTCCATCGTAGCAAATACGGTTTACTTGAATAAAATATTAAATCTATATATGTATAGAATTGATAGATCTTTTAATCATATAAAATTGAAAGCCCTGACAAAGGTGAAATTTTTCCCAGAGGCTTCCATTATGATACAATGAATAAGAAAGGATATTTCGAAATTCAACCTCTACGGGAGTAGAAAAAGGTTGCAACATTTGTACCAGGAATATTTTATTTGTGTTCGAATTTGCTTGAAACTTGGTCTTAATGCTCTTTGATATGTTTAATCAAACATCTATTTCGGAATTTTGAAAAATTCAACTCCTGAAGGGGTGAAAGGAGGTTGCAATTCCTTTCAATTTCCTTTATAATGGATTTCCTGTTCTTTCGTTATAAAAACAATTTAGTTAGGAAATTTGTTAGTACAAAACATTGGGTACATTTTTTGTATAGAATAAGATAAAAATATAAGAATAGTATTCCATGCGGGTAAAACCGCGAAGCACAGCTAGTAGAATATAAATCGATACATTAAAGCGAATAGTTTGATGATGGTATAACATATTGAGAACAAGAATTATCGTCAGTATCAAAATTGTGAAAAGAAATTGAAATTCGCATTTGTTTTCAAAAATTTCATTCGGACATTTACTCTTTGTGTCTGTCACAGAAGTATTAAGCGATCTTGTAATCAAGAAATTAATGTTCAACGGTATTGCATTCGAATTTATCTTTTCTTCGTGTTTTCTCAAAAGATTTCAAGGTTTACACGGGGATTGTAACGCGTCCAGTCGATAGACGTTTCTTTGTACTAAAACGCGAAAAACGTGGCTACGTCTACGAACCAGTAGAAGAAATCGGGATTATGTACAACGTCACGTCGTGTCACGTGTTCGAGAGCACCACTTGAGGGCTCTGTTCTCGATGCCTCTGCGCGAATAGAGGTTCTTGGTGCAGCCACGGTTCTCGATCTTCCATCTTCCGCACGTCGTGGCTGTGTACAGACTGATTTTAATAACTGGAACAAGCCGCAGCTCTCTTTCAAACGTAGATGCAAACAAAATTATAATACGGGAAACAGGTGAATCCCTCGAAGTCATCTTTTGGTGATAGAACTTCTGTTCGATGCAATTTGCGCTTGCAATTTTAATCGGAACCGTGCATTACATTCAATGCTTCGTAGTCTTCTATCACTCTTAGAATCATAGAACAAATATTCCTTTATTTCTTCTTTTTCTCGTGTAAAATATTCCAGAACTCCAGAATTTCATAAGACGACAATTTCGTCTACAAGAGCAATGGAGAAAGAGAAACTACATTCTCTAGAAAAACTAACGACTCTATAAATTCCTATAGAAGAAAAATAAAAGCTTGTCGTTTCCGTTACCCCCGTACATGTTCGCCAGGGTGTGCAGCGTTTCGCGAATCGGTGTTTCGAAATTTGCCAGCCGCGCCACCGCGAAATCTGCGAATAATAGAGCCTACGTTGAAACTCAAAGGTTCCAAGCAGAGATTAAACCAACCGTATCTGGTGATCGTATTTCA